TCAAAATTTTATAAAATCCCCCCCCCCCCCCCAACTACAAAAAAAATGAATTATAATATAAATAGATTTATAAATACGTTTTACTTTGTGCAGATGTATTTTTGATAACACAAAATTGTGGGAAAAACATTTCATTACACCTTTAGCTTGTTAATCAAGTTTAAAAGTTTTTACACTAAAATTTTATGATGCAGAATCAATTAAAATTTTGTTAAAGACTAAATAAAATGATTTGTGGTAGTATAAATATGATTATTGTCAGTATAGCTGACATATAGGCCTATGGTATAGTTTCTAGCTGCTATTATCTTCCCATGGAGTAGCCATGGTCATGGGCGCCCGCAGGTAGGGGCAAGGGGGGCACTTGCCCCCCCCCTGGATTGATTGGATTTAAAAATTAGACAAAAATAGATTAAAAAATGTATTAAAGTAAAGAGAAAATAAAGAGAAAGTAACTAAGCTGATGTCCTGTACGTTCGTTTACCATACAAATACGCTACAGTAAATTAAAGCTATATTAAAACATTACTAAAAAAAATTTGTCCCCCCTGGAAAGTTAATCGATTTTTTTTGCCCCCTCCCCTAGATAGTTTTCTGCTGGCTCCCATGGCCATGGTGTTCCTCTATTGTAACAATGGGCGTCAGGGACATCATTTTGGTAGGGCATGGGGGGCATTTGCCGTCCCCTTCGAATTTGCTGGTTTAATTTAAATTGCTATGGACTGTGGCGCCTCCAGTAATAAACAACTTAACAAGCCGACCAAGTTTTACCCCCCCCCCTTCCCCTGAAATAAACCTGAAATGGGCATAATCTAGAGTAGCTGATTTATCATTTTCATCTTGCGGAACTGATGTACCTGACAAGTCAACATCATCCTTATCTAACTATCCAGTCTTCAGTATTTAAAATCGAAACATTGTCTGTGTGATCAATAGTTGCCATAAGCTCCCTCTGTCTTTGAGTTGGTATAGTTGTTATTGAACACCGATGAGTTGGTGTTTTTTTTAATTGAACACCGTGTACATTGATGTGTTAATAAATTCTAGGGAGCGGATTAAGATTAAGAGAAAAATGACAGATGAAGAGATGCCAACTTTTGACTTCTCTTGCACTTAGAAAGTGTGCTAACATTCTGACCAGCCATCTGCAGTGCACAGAGAAACATACAATGCATAACTATTATATTGTTAAAATCCTAAACAAATTTGACTATTTACACTAATTAAATTGTTTAGAATAATGAAAGTAGGCCTACAAGTCAATTTTTAAGATTAAAATTTTAAAGCAAAAAACATCGTTAGTGACGTCAACTAATCTAAATCCCCCTCCCTCCCCCTTGTCAACAAGTGTCAACAATTTCCGAAACCACTCCCCCCTATTTTGTTGACGTAATTAATGGACGCCCCCTTGTATAATGATAAATAATTTTAATGTAAACATTTTAGTAAATTATTTAAAACTTATCTGCGATATAACAAAAATGTGTATTACTCATACATGACACTCCCACTTCCTGTTTAAACTTATTTGGGGATACCGAGTATACAGAGAAATTAAATGTACTGAACTAGGCCAAGAGAACCAATTAAGAAAGTATGTCTTAATTAATGCAGTATATAACTTACAAAAATATATTTCATGTAGCCCATAATGGGCTTACTCAAAAGTAATAATGATCTAAATAAAATTATTATTGTTAGGTAGGATTGACGCATGTTTTTATTTTAAAAATTAATAAATTTGTGTGAGTGAGTGAGCTCAGTGACTCACTCAAACTTATGAATGCCAACTACTAAACTGAGACTCATTCATTTTCATGTAATGTAATATTTAACTTTACTTTAACAAAACGTATATATTATATAAAGTATATTACATACCGGTATAATTCATATTTAAAACCATAATAGATTATATTATATATTATTAATTATGATTTTGTCCATTTATAACTTGTTTTGTGTTCTGATTATTCACTATGCCATGCCAAGTAAATTAATTAGACACGAAAAATAACTTATATGAATATATGTTAAGCTTTAATAATAATTTTACATGATACACAAATAGACATTTCTGCACATGCCTTCATTTTCATCATAACAACTAAACAGTAAATTTGGAGAGATAGCACCTGCGAATTTATGCCATCTGTGACCTGCGAATTTATGGCTTATGTCCTAAGTGTATCCCTAAACCTAACCTGAACCCTAAATCAATCTATCCTAAACCTAACCTGAACCCTAAACTTATCCTTAACCTGGGTTTTGACCCTATCAGAACCAGGGATAAAACATGCAAATGACGTCAGTGTGCTATCTCTACAAATTAGCCCAACAAAACATTTAATTAAGTATAAAGAAATTTTACATTGTATATATATGCATATATCCTACCTAAAAAAAGTAAAAAAATAGGAGCTGAAACTTGGCTTATAAACTAAGTAATTAGTAGGTAATGAGTAATGAGTAATTAATTATTAATTAAATATTGAATATATTAATTTCCTTCCCCCAAGAATTAAAAATGAATGTTGAACATGAGATTGGACTTCTTGTGGAAGAAATAAAGCGCTTAGGAACAGCAGGTAAATTTTTATGTCAATATCTTATCAATTTTAAGTTATGATTAGCAATGTACCGAAGTGGTATTTTTTTTATCTTGTGACACAGTTGTGACCATATTGGAAATTAATATTAAACCAATTTGTACAAACTAATTTTGTTGGAGTGGAATTCTGGTGGACATAAATCAATTAAATTTGACATTTTTTTTATTGATCTGATGCATATAAATAAAATGTTGCAATGATAGCAAAACTTTTCAAAGTATGCCCAAAATTTCTATAACTTCAAAGTAGTTTAATTTTTATTTTTACTAAAGTCACCAGTAATTGAATTATATTATGATGTTATAAAGAAAATTACATTTGAACAAATCACTGTTTTAACATACTTCCATTCAAACATATCTTATGTCTGCTAGAATAAACTTCCTTCTTACAAATTAGTGCAAATTTTCTAGTAACCAGTTGTGACATAATTAGCTGTCATAAGTTAGAATTTTAAAAAACACAAATGTATCTTTTTAAATATGGAAACTAAGATAATTCATAAATTATTTTTGTAATTTGTTTGCACTTCTGTGTACCGGATTAAGCTTTAATTTTGTGTCTGCCATTTATCAAATTTTTTACAGATTGTTATGTCAAACTGCTTATTCATATTTTGTTCTTAAAATGCAAAACTATCACCATTTTTCACATGGACCATGTTTTTCAAGTACCTTTAATTTAATAGAAACAAAGCAATAAATTAATTAATTTTTTCCCCATTTCTAGGTGCAGGGGGAAAGACTGAAGTGACCTTTGGAACATTGTTCAATGATGATCGATGTGCTAATATATTTGAAGCTTTAGTGGGAACGTTGCGAGCTGCTAAAAGAAAGAAGATCATTAGTTATGATGGTGAACTTTTACTTCAAGGTGTTCATGACAAAGTCATCATATCTTTACTTTGATGCAAAAAAATTAATACATTGTACAATAGTCTTCTATTAACCTATTTATCTTGTTTTAAAGACTTTGCATGCTGTTTTTAATATGTATACTCTTAAAATAAAAAAAATTAAATATATTACATACTTTAATTAATGAAAGGTTTGTTTTTAATCAATCTTCAGCTTGACTTCTCATACATTTTTCTGCTTTTCTTTCTGTATTTTCTGGAAGTTCTAACTTTGCCGTTGCCTGGTACTATTTGATGACCCAGCAATTTCTGAAAAAAGCAAACTAATCTGGCTCTGGTCAGTGTCCAAAATTTTTATTGCACAAGGGGGTGGAATTTTTTTTTAATGTGGTGAAGGATTCCCTCCTCTCAATGAATATTTTAGCTGGGTAAATTTGAACCTGCAACTGCTACTCTCTGCTAAAATCAGACAGATTACAATTGCGCAGGAAATGTTGTTCCAGGTGTAAGTTAAGCTAATATTAATCATTAAGATTTAAACAAGTTTTTCTCAATGGAGTGCATTTCCATGATGCTAAACAGTGAAATGGGGGAGGGAGTGGGTATGAATTAGTTAACTCATCTGGAGATTTAGGCAAATGCTAAATTTAGTGCCACTGGTAATAAACATACAGATAGTGCTAAGTCACAACTTGATTTTGAAACTGATCTGAAGGTTTAGTTGGTAAGTTATAGATAAACTGAAAGCAAATGTTCAAATTCAACGAAGAACAAAAGAAAAGATGGGTAGAGTAGAATATTTCAAACAACTACTAAACAGGCCAGCAGCAAAAGAACCACCTGGAATTCTCCCTGCAAAGAAGATCTCACTGACTGCAATTGCAATGGACCCTACAAAGCAGAAATTAAAAATGCAATCAAGCTATTGAAAAAAGGAAGGCTGCTGGCCCTGATGAAATACCTGCAGAAGTACTAAAGATGGACCTGGAGAATTATTTACTGCTAAATTACCTACAAATATGATTGTGAGCAGGGAATACTAGCAGAAAATGATAAAGTTTATAATTATAATAAACAAGAATCAGAAAAATTAATTACCTTAATATGACAGTGATGTTCTTATGAGCAATGGTGAAATTCTCTAGCACCATTGGTATGTGTAACTAGTTTCGTACAGGTAACCTAAATTGCTTTAAAAAAAAAAAAAAGATTTTCAACCTTTTTCCAGGTGACACAGCAATAATGATTTGATGACTAAAACAGATTTTCGTTGGAAGCAACAACAAAAATGTGGGGAGCGGGGTCCAGGATGGAAATCGGATCAAAGAAAAATATATATTTTTTTTAAAACCAACTTCTATTTGTATTATGGAAGTACCGGTACTTAGTAGTGGTAGTGGTAGAAAACAATGAATAATTGACACCATCAGAGTTCCCCCCTGCTGCTTCCCTTCCCCTGCCTCCGAATTCAACTCAGAATGATACTGTCGGTTCGCGCAACATAAAATATTAATCTCCAGTTAATTAGAAAATATATTTAATAAATCTGAAACCTGTCCCTAGTGGCAGAGCAGTTTCAAAACTTGTCCATTCTCCGCCAAACCTAAAAGTTTGGGAAACGCTGTATTGGTACTAGACTATATTGGTGACACCTGAGACTGAAAGGACACAATTGGTAACTAACTTATGACTGTCTACATCAGGGGTCCCCACACCCTCAGGTGGTCCGGGAAGACCCAGAAAATCAGGATATGCATTTTTATTTTAAAAATGTGTTTAGTTTCTTTCTTTCTTTGTTTGTTGTTTTTTTTTTCTAGGGGTTGGCGGTGTATTTGGGAAATAAAATTTGAAATCAATATGGGGTTGGGGGAGAATGTCGTAAAATCAAGATTCGGTGCGGGGATGACAAAAATGCTATAAACCCCTGCCCACATCGACACCAACTGCAAACTTTATAAGATTCTCCGATGCCATAGTCTGAAATTTTCTGGAAACTGTTCTGCAGGTTATTATCAGTGATCAGATCACTTAAAGGAGACCATTGCAAATCGTGTTCCCCTCAGTTGTCTCTGGAGAGCACCTCGCAAAGTTGAGCTTGGATTGAACTCAATGTTGCACCCTCACACAACTCCTCTATTGGTTTAACCACGCAAAGGAAGTGACCCCTAGATTTGAGGACCTCGGAATCAGTGTTTCTTTCCGTCAATGTCCTCGCGGGAGTTTGGGGGGAAAAAAAAAGGGGGGGGGGGGTCGTTTTCAGACTTTTGGATGGGCGGTGCCAGTGGATAGAAGCAGAGCCGTTCTTTGGAGTTTGGGGGCCCTAAGCATGGAGCGTAGGTTTGGGGCCCCAGAAGTGAGGTCCGGGTCTGGAACTCCCTCGAGATGAGGAGAAAACACCACCCACCACTCCGGCACCTCCATTCTGCCGATTTCCTGTCTGCCACCCTCAAAGTTCCCCCCTGCTGCTTCCCTTCCCCTGCCTCCGAATTCAACTCAGAATGATAAATTTCAGGATGAGGAAGGTAACGTGAGTGACACAGACGGCTGCAGTGCCAGTTTAAAAACAACCGGGGGATCGAGGGCGCCTCACGGGGCCCCCCTCACGTTCGAGGCCCTACGCGGATGCATAGTCAGTGTATGCCTAAGACCTAAGAACGGGCCTGATAGAAGTGTAGCTAAGGCGGGCATACACGGTGCCGAAATACGGTTTTTTATGGTACCGGTTTTATATTGGGGGGGGGGGGGGGGGGGGATATGGTGTTCCATCCAGGTGTCATTTTTTTCTTTAGATGGAGGGCATTTTCGGACAACTGCAAATTTTGTGTCGTAAAAAGGAGCGTGACAAAAATCATAGCCCGCCCAGGGTGGCACAAGGTATCGTATATATCGGCAATAGGCGATAAGGGCCATTTAAATCATCCTTTTATCGGGAGGGGGGTTAGGGCAGAAATCAAGGGCGGGATTGGCTTTCCCCTAAATTAAATTAGTGATTATGTCAAAATCAAGCGATACATTATGGAGTATATCTGATTTCTTTGATCGGAGAAATGAATTTTTCAAGATCGGGAGAAGCATTATGGCGCCCCGTGCCATACATAAACAAAAACTCACTTCGGTTGTGGCGCGCCCCAGGGTTATTATTTGACACATTGATTGACGTCCGGGAAGGGGTTAACAGAAATTAAGAGTACCGAAGACTCTCGGGCAAAATCGGAGGCAGGGGTCCCCTTACATTTTTGAAAATAATTTAAAATGAACAGATACATGGGGGTGAATACTTGAATTCAGTTTTTCTTTCAGACAATTAGGGAGGGGGCATTCCAGACTTTAGTTTGGGAAGCGCCAAAAATAGCCATAATAAAGATGAGGGTCATATTTAACTCTTCCCCAGGCCAACATGATCTAAATTCATTCCTTTTGTTGGGCACTTGAAGGAATGCTTTGTGCCGATAGATAGACTGTTTAGCGTAGTTTCGCCCCTTTAATCTTTATGCCCACGGAAAATTTTGATACATTCAAAACGCAAGAATGCATTTGAGCAAATTCCCATTTTGCATCATTCTACACTTAATCGGAGAGCAATAGGATAGATGATATTTAAAAATGTAGGTGTCACCTAATCTCAGAGCCATCATGTGTGCCTGCTTTCCCCTAGATATGCAGGGTGCCTACGATATTTTAGGGGCTAAAATTGTGCTGCAGACACTTTAAAAAAAAAAAATCAACTTTGAATGCAATATTATGGAAGGACAAAAGCGAAAAGTGGCAGGGGGCCACAAAAAGTCAAACGACGGCTCTGCTTGGCCAGGCTGTGCTATACACATTTTTTTTTACCAGAGTTAAAAATCCTGTTTTGTAGGAAACTATTGAAAAGGGGGGGGGGGGGGGGTTAACTAATTAATGCATTATTTAAATTTCTTTTTTTTTTTAAATCCTTCCAAAATTTTTTTCCTTTCCCCTTAAAAAAAATAAAAAAATCACACCTAACCCCAGTTTACCCTTTGAACAAAAATGAAAAAAAAACAAAAAAACAAAATAAAAAAGCTTGTGTTGGGGAAATTATTGAAAAGGGGGGGGGGGGGTGGTTAACTAATTAATGCATTATTTAAATTTCTTTTTTTTTTTAAATCCTTCCAAAATTTTTTTCCTTTCCCCGTAAAAAAAATAAAATAATCACAGCTAACACCAGTTTACACGTTGAACGAAAATGTAGAAAAAACAAACAAACAAAAACTACGCATATTTCTAAAATGTCCAAGTTTTAACAGCGTCAAAAATCCTATTATGCAGAAAGCATGATGCATTTTTATGGATTTAAAAACTATTCATTTTGAGTATTTAGGCGTCATAATTATGTTAAAAGACATGAGATGTTTACAAAGGAAATTATATATTTATTAATGTGTGATTTTATCGTATAAAAATAAAATACAAATTTCCCTAATATTAAGTTGATTGAAATATTTATTTGAAATTTCAAACTATGCTATAACTTTTTCAGATAAATTATAAATTGCCTCTTCGATATACTTTAAAGGGGTTGTTGTCTTCCTTACCAAATCCATGCAGTTTGAGCATTGCCAAACGCGTAGTTACTTTCATATAGTTAAACCCGCAAAGAGACCCCCCCCCCCCCCCCCCCCCACACAAGCCACAACAGTTCCCATGCGTGCAAGAGTGCCCAATACTGATTTCCATTTATTATGTGTCCCAAGAAGTCTCACTTTATTGAGATAGTATCATGACATGCGAAGGCGGCCAGCAGACGAAGCACTGCGCTCTATTTCTAGCCAGGGCTGTAATCATAAGAGTGATTAGCTTTGAAGAAGGCCTGCGCGTATCAAGATGCCCAGAAAATACCGAAAACATGTGACGGAGTTTAGATAACTTTCAGCAAGAGTAGGCAGCCTACGGCACCTATCACGCTCAGCGATTTTGAGTGACACGCGGAAGACCATAAAATATCAATAAATGACAAAAAAATGCGTTTTAAAAGGTGGAAATGTATATTGTTGGCACGCTGGATGACTTAGAAATAGTCAATTTGGCACAATATCACCAAAAGGCTGCCGACCCCCTGAAATTAATGGAGATTTTGACTGGAAATCGAGGCAAGGATCAGCAAGGCAAATTAGGAATTCGATATGTTGACATCCACAAAGGGGGGGGGGGGGGTTGAACGATCTAAGAATCCGCGTCAAATATTAAATGTTTAAACTTAATGCCATTTTTTCCTCTATGGTAAGGCAAATTAGGAATTCGATATGTTGACATCCACAAAGGGGGGGGGGGTTGAACGATCTAAGCATCCGCGTCAAATATTAAATGTTTAAACTTAATGCCATGTTCTCCTCTATGGATGAAGCGTGGTTTTCAAATAAACTTTATTATTATTATGTAAGACCACTAGCATAATATCATATAGTAAGTTGGAAGTTTGCCAGGGCCAAAATGCATAAGATGGAATGATCCCTATAACTTGCGTGCCATTGACCATCTCAAATGTATAACCGAGACGTTGGTCGAGAGATGCACCCATTGAAGAAACGGTACAAACATGTCGCTAGAGACACTTTTGTTCAAGTTTCTAGAATGCAATTGCAACTATGTTCCTTTACCCCCAGGACATCACAAAGACGTACAGCCCATGGAAAACGAAACTAAAGAAGTCCCAAAGAAACCTGTCATTGAAGAAAAAAAAAGAAGAAAAAAAGATCTTTAGAATAGAAGCTCAATCCTTGAGACGCTCCCCTTTATGGAAGCAGCCGATAGAGAGAAGTGGCGCTCCTTGTCCGTTGACCCAATCTCTGATCCAAGCACGAGGACTAAATGTGTGAGTGAAAGTAAAAATACACAATCATACAGTCATCGTAACGAAGAGGAAGAAGCGTGTAAGTGTTCGTGTAAAGCAGGGGTCTCCAAACTCTTCAGCCCGAGGGCCGCATTAACTATCGAACAGCAGTTCGGGGGCCGACCACACACTCGAGGTCCAAATAAAAATTAATTAAAAAAATGGATGTTGTTATTAATCATTTATGTAGTATTATTGCATTCAGTTATTATTTAATAGCACATTGATACACGACACATGAATACCTGTATAAGTGGGAATGGTGAAATTGTTTCCTGGATGCAGTGATTAGCAGACATTTCTGGATTTAGATTTGATGTCCCTAACATCAACAGTGACCTGACATGATCATCAGACAAATTATTTGTTCTCAAATTGTTCTTCATTTATTTCGTTCTTGAAATGTTTGTCCACACAGGCGTGTTGTTCCATATTATAGTTTGAAAGGTACATTGATTCACATTTTTTTTACCCATGTCTGCAACACGGCGGGCAAAGCTCCGCCACTATATGGCGTTATGTTATCTCATTGACTGTGAACGGAAGTAGAAAAACAAAGCAGCGAATAAGGTTTTGCCAAGTCATGATCGGTTAGAAAACATAACGTGTTACTGCGCGCCTCTATTGTAATTCGGTAAAAACATAACGTCCACGTAAGCGGCGTCTGATCTTGGCAGGATACACGTAAATGTCCGTAACTTTTCCCGTAAACAAAGGGTCTCCGCGAGCCGCATGAGAGGGCCTCGAGAACCGCATGTGGCCCGCGGGCCGTAGTTTGGAGACCCCTGGAGTAAAGGAATTAATTTGCATGAGGCATTGAACTGTTGGGTTGGACGTCGTATGTAGCGGGTGGCACAATTCTATTTTTACATTTTTCACGCAGATCATATAACTATTACGTGAAGCCGGAGTTACATTATAAGCGAAAACTGAAACAAAATTGCACTTAATAACACTGATTGAAAGTTACAAACATTGTGAACACATTCTTTTTTACAAAAATTATAATTATTTTATTTTTAAACTATCATAGAGAAAACCCGTACCGGTATGTGAGGTCCGAAAAATGTCCTCTGATCAAGTTACAGGCCACCACGGAGGAGGAGAATCGGCATGTATTGACATTGACAGTCGTGGGCAGTCATGTCACAATGTGGAGATGGTAGTCATAGAATTGGTGATACCACGTGAAGTAGAATGGAACTAAAATTAATTGACCAGGGAAAAAAAGGGGGGAGGGGGGGTTGATCTTATTAAATGTTCCAGGGCAGGGCTTCCTGACTGTATCCCTATCAATTTCAAAACGTTTTCTGCAACCTCCCCATCTCCAGGGCCGGCGCTAGGGGATGGCGAAGTGGGCGACCGCCAAGGCCCGCGCGTTGCTGTAGTATATTTATAATACAACTAAACCTACTGATAGTTCCTAATCCAGTCAACACAATATTCGGAGTTATTAGATGGTCAAATGGTCAGAAGATCAGTCTGGCTGCCATACTATCCCTTCGAGATGAATCTCGGGAAGACCTCTGGGCGCATGTTAAGCGGACGAAAGGGGATTATCAGGGAATTTTATACTGTATTTAGACCCGTTAACCTTTTGTTCAGCCTTCATCACACGGTAAGAAAAACTTATGGAAGAGTTCGCCACCAAGAAAGCAATGAAGGTGAACTTTCGATAAAGGCTGTCTTATTTTTTTTTTGGCTTATTTTTTGCTTGTGTTTTGCTAGTGTCCAGATTACAAAGCCTCAATCAGCTTCGTGTTTCCGTTATTTGTTTTTGACAACCTCGATGCAGGTAACAATGGAGCCACGATGAGTAATTTGGGCCAGGGCAATTAACTGTTATAGGAAAAAAATAGAAATTTCGGAAACTAAGCGAGTGAACAAATATCCGTTATGACGCGTCCCATTATGACCAGCAAGGCCCCAGTACGACTATAACGTGTCTTAATATCCCATCGGCGGAATATATAACGTCAACGGTCCCGCAAATATCAATTTGCCCAAGGCCCCGCACCCTCCTAGCGCCGGCCCTGCCATCTCCATCCCCACGCATAAATTATAAAAAAAATGATCATAGTTGATAATTTAGTTATTGTCGTTTTATTTCTCTAATTAATATTATACACACACAAAAAAAAACAAACAAAAAAAAAAAAAAAAAAAAAAAAAAAAAAAAAACAACAATACAAGTATGCGCCAACAAAATTCACCAGAATAATTTACTGCTGCTAATCCAAATGCATAAAAGCTGATCTTTCTTAAATGCAGCAACATCTAGCAATGGCAGCAAATACAATTTTCTGGGTCCTCCGTACCTCTTACGGTGCTTTGACCCCTGGTTAAGAACCACTGTTCTAGGGAAATGTTTCTGGCACAGGTGCCGTAATTCGATATCCATGGGAGGGGAATTTTTTAAGAGTTTGTAATTGAAATGGACAGTAGTGGTCATGGAATTTTTTTTATACAAGGGTGTTCAAATATTTGTGACATTATATTAAAAATATGCAATATTGGCGTGACGTCAAATATAGCTGTCCCTTATACTAAAAAAATCCCCCCTTCCCAAACCAGCTACTCCCTTGACTATAAGACAAACATACCGGTACCTTGTTTTTTTTTGTTTTGTTTTTTTTTAAATCATAAATATAAAATCGTAGGTGTTTCAGCTGTTCTAACCAACCCCGTTATATATATATATATAATGCGCCGCTAGGTTTTAAATAGGCTCACTGAAAGATTTACTCTTTAGATAAGCCCTAGATTCCATATAGGCTTCTTTCTTTGAGATCGATGCCCTTTATAAAACCTCATCAGGCACTCAAAGCTAAGAAGGCCTATGGTCATGGTCATGGTAATAGTAATAGTCTACACGAAAATCACAGCTATGTTTATCAATTAATACAAACGCAACCAATCAAAAGCACCCGGCAAAACTTTACATGAAAAACATGAAGTATTTCCCAAAGAAAATAGGGCTAAAACTAAAAGACGCAAACATTGTTGTAAAGTGATTTAACGTACCGGTACTAAATGTGATAGGCACTTATTAAAAGTTATTAGGTCATAGCATTAAACAGGGGAGAGAAATCGATGCGAAATAATTCACTCTTAAAAAAATAATAATTTGAATGAGGGTTACTTGGGGAATGATTTCCTTTAATAAGTGGTTATCTTTCTTGACGAATGAAATTTCGCATGAACACAAGATGTGTTTTTTGTGCTGAGTTTACTACAACTGTAACCGCATTTATAATGTATCTAAAATATATATTTCCTCTTGTCTGATATTAAGTATCCATCGACATTCAACGAGTAGGTAATTATTTACGAATGTACAGTGATAGCATAATAATGAACTAGCGGATTAGGCTAACTGTGTTGACGGTTCACGAGAACGATATCCGGTCTCAGGTCTACTGAAGCATTCTGGGACAATGCGCATGCCCAGAATACATTCGGCCATGATAAATATGAAAAAAAAATGTTAAAATTTTATTATATCATTTTAATTGAAATTACGTTATTGAAGGTTGGGCTACCTCTGTGAGAATCTATTCATATCTGGATATCAAAGAAATTTCTTAATGCCTTATTTCAAACTGCCCTCGCAAGATTAATCCTCGGTTTTTGAAGCCCTTTATAACGTAACTGCTATACGTAAGTAAAACAAGTTAATTCTTACTGCAGCTACTGCCGATATGGTTTGTCTTGTTATTAACTACCGAATTCCGTGATTAAAAATGGCAGCTGGTCCCGATGATAAATACCTAGTTTCTCACGTATGGTAAAAGAATGTGCTACCTGTACGTTATATTACATATTTTTGTTTACCTGGCCCCTGGCTCAGCTGCTATGACAAGTTAACTAAGTATAGTTAGTAAAGTTTAGAAGTGTCAAGAAGTGCAACAATAATATCGTCTTTGGTTTGCCAAATCCTACACATAACACTCTCTACAGATTCAGTAGTACTCCAGATGAAGTATGCTAAGTTACAGGTTTTGTTCCTTACTTAGTCTCTTAGTGTCATCCTATTATTATGTCATGTAGAATTCTCAAACTCAATGCACATTAAATAATTATTCAAACTTGATGAATTTAGGTGGGGCTAATCATGTATTTTGTTTACCATTCATTCATTTATCATTTAGCCTCATTTAATTTATAATTAGGTCCTAGTTCCATTAAAAAAAAAATCAAATCAATCAAGAACCATGTGCAATTTTATATGATAGGCCAATCCCTATGCCCTATGGAACTTTTTCATGTAGGGTCTGTCTATTCTAGTCTATAGTCTATTGTGATTCTAAATAATGTACTAGTACTAGGCCTCAACATTTTTTAGAAAAAAAATATATTTATGACTGATCATCATACTTTTTTTCTTTTATTGGAGAATCATTTTAAACCCAGTTTCATTGTTAACAGGTTTAGGTACAGGTAAGATAATAATGACAATATTGGTTAAATTCATTATTGTGACCAAATTTTTTTTTTTCTTGGCAGGCTTTTGACTTTTTTTTTCTATTTTAGTAGAGAAGTCTAATACTCAGAAATGAGCCTACTAACTAAATGAGTTTCTCCAAATTTATTATAATAAGGCAATACTGTTTTTTAACATGTTGTGATTTAAATATTAATTAAGATCAATTGGCATAGTGATAATGAGGTTTATCTATTTTTTAGACAGAATGTTTTACCATAATTAAAAGTGATGTTTACAGTTTCATCTAATACCGTAAAATTAGAAAAGCATATGCTAATTACAAGAGGATTGAACAGTACTAAATCTTAATAAAGCTAACTAATTATGTTGGTAACAAGTAATAAACAAATTAATAAAATTGTAGATATATATAGAAGTAAAAATGTTTCGGCTGGAAGATTACAACAGTTAAATACTAAAAACATTTTATTTATTTGAATGTTACATAATGTATTAGCCTGCCTGCTCAGTAGAAAGAAGAAGAAAAAAAAGAAAACTGGAAGAAGATTAGAAAGGATGTGGAGCTATAGTGTAGAACCGAAATGGACCATTTGTTTAAAATTATGGATTTGGGCAATGTAGTGTGGAGCAATTATCCCAAATCATTTATATTCCATTTAAATTAAATTCATTTCAAGGTAGAACTCAATGCATCTGTAACTTCAATATCCCACTTTCCATTATTGTTATTAATACTACATTGTTTGAAAGTTAAAAAAAAAAAATGTTTCCCAACTCAACTGGCCTCCCAAATGTAAAAACTTTCCGCAGAGAGAAGGTGTTTTGATTCACTTCAGTGACATAGAACATTAGTTACAGCAGCTTTGGTTGCAGTCTTTACTCATTTCTTTTTAATAAGAGGGAGATGGCTTCTAATCAGCATGTCTCTTAATCTTCCGTTCCATTAGTGTGGTGAAATGTCGCCAAGGGGTAGGTCCTGTCCGAACGACCAAAGAAAACAATATCAGAGTGTTTCTTTCTCGCTTCAAATAACTTCACGAGATGGTTTTGATCAAATAAATATTCTTTAATTATTTACAGAAAAAACAGAAACCAACATTAATGGTGTTCACACCATATGAATGAAAAAACTTTTGTCCATCTTCCCCGAATGTACATCAATAAGCATCACCCACTCACTCCCTAATGAATTTCTTCCTTGTGCTCATAACAAATATCGCACCCCACCGGTAATGCGTCATAACGCATTCATGACTTAGTAAACGTGGTGCGATTTATGGGGAAGTTCCAAATGAAAAAAATTATTGCTCATAGTTAAAATTCTCAACCCAGAAACATAACATAATCAAGCGATCTGACCATGACAATCAGCATGCAACAAGGGGAGGGGATTTCTGAGTATTTTATGTTTTAGGTTCTGGGTAGAGGAAGGACAATTTTGATATTAGTTTTGCAGCTTATAGTTTATGGGGATGATCAATAATATGTAAAAATAAGTTTGGTGCTTTCATATTTTCGGAATTAATAGTGCAACTACATCTTGTCAGGTGATGCCCTTAATTCCATTTAATTTACTAAATGTCAGTTTTAGAATAAGCTCAATACACATCTGGAAATTTCCCTTTAATTCATCTGAACATTAGTTGTAGAATTAGCTCAATACATATCAGGGAATCTAGCATATCTAAAGCCCGAAATACCATCATCATCTTGATAAGTCTCAGTAGCTGGCATAATTGACAAATAATTTTGTAGGTGCTCTTCTTAGTTTAAGGAATTAGGTGCAGAAGTTGGAGAATAAGGTTAGAGAGAAAAGTTTAGGGCATAAAGGGATAGTGCACGGGTGAGGGGAGAGAGTGAGGGCAGGTGTAGTTAGAAAAGTATAGGAATTTAAGGGGGGGGGGGGGGGGGGGGGAAAGATAGGTTTGATGGACAGGGGTGTTAGTGAATAAGCATAGGTATATCAGGGGTGTTAGTGAATAAGCAGAGGCATAGTTAGCCCGAGGGCAAGATTCATTTTTACAAAGTCACACACAACCCCTCCCTCAGCTCTCTGATAGCTATTTTTTTTAAAAATTTCATCTTCAATAAATACAATCAAAGGCCATTATGGCACCTAGGGACATCTGTTGTCACACACCCTTCCCAATCCTCTGGGAATAAGCATATGAGAGAGAGCACAGGGGAGGATGAGGAAGATGTTTGATGAAAATATTGACAAGATGATAGTGATTGGGGGGGGGGCAGTAAAGAATGAGGAGAGGAGTGGTTTTTTGTTTTTAGGGATTAAGGATCAGGGTATGACTTTTAAAATTAAAGGGGGGGGGGGGTGGTGGTGGTGGTAAACATAAGAAGTTGAGCAGAAAAGGTAAAAGTATGAGAAGAGGGTAAAGGATATTGAGGTGGCAGAGGTTAGGTTACATGAGGTTTGTTGATGTAGATTGGGGAGTCCAACTCATTAAAATTAATTGAGGGGACCTGGTAGGAATTTGGAAAAAAAATATCACAAGAAATATAGTTGTATAAAGACATTTTAAACAAATAGTCTTAGAATAATTACCGTTTTTATTGGCATATAACACACACTTTTTCTCCTCGAAAATAGAGGGCAAATCATGTTTGCGGGTTTACGCCTATATAATGTTTAGTTTTTTTTTCCTGAAATTTTCTTCTTAAATTGAGGTGGGTGTTAAATGCCAATAAATACGGTACATAGTATATTGTGAAAATTATTGATGAATGAGAATACCTAGTATTAATTAAATTTTAACTTTGAAGTAGAAAGAATTAATCCAGTTTCTTAAAAACTTTTTGCTGCCCCTCTTGATTTCAAAACATCCCCCCCCCCCCCCCCCCCCCCCCCCCCGCACCCCCTCTTGATTCAACCCCCTCCTTTTTTTTCTGCTTAGTTATATGCACTTTCATGTTACTTTTATAAAATATTTAAATAATTAAGCAGACATGAAACAAAAAATATCGAAAACAAGTTACACACCATTATTAGACAAACAACATAAAAAATAAAAGAATGATAGCTGATCAAAATAATTTATAATATATAAAACAAATCTAGGTAATTGTAATTAAAATATTTTTTATATCATACCCAATATATGAATTAAATGCATTAATGGGTTTATAAGAATCAACTTTTTTGGCTCTTTGAAGTAATGGTAACGATGACCTACTCAGCCTAGAAGTATGGGGATTCAAATTCTTCTAGGGTCATTGCAACTATAGGTTAAAACCCGGGAGTAATGGAATCATTATTGAAGCAAGGCAGATATTTTAGGGGCAGAGCTAAGCTCTGAATAAATAAACTCAGTCACCAAAACTGTATAAAAGCTGCCAACTGTGATGTTTAAAAAAAAATAGATGTAGTTTTTCCATGTAAGCTGCAGTCTCCCAAATGAAATCCTGAACAATAATAAATTAATACATTTTTTAAAATCTTTATGAGCAACAAAAATTGACACTATTCAATGACATACCATGATAGCTTTTATGTGAGTTAAAAAACTTTTAAAATCTTCAAAAAACTAAAAGCTGTTTTGAGTTTAAATATATATTTTGAGTACATCATATTCTCCTTTTTACCCCTACTTTTTTATTTTGTTAAGCAAATGGTTATCAACCTTCTCAGAGTATTAGTTATTTTCTTTCTTATGCAAAAATGCTATTTAAAAGATATATAATAAAATAAATTTAGCCAGCCAAACACTGGCGTCAGCAATGCATGAACTTCACATCTACTTAAGTTACTTGACAAAACATGAACTTAAGTAATGCACATTTAAGAATCCCAATTTTTGCTACACCCCTTCCCCCATGATACATCACTGCACACTTTTTATTTCATGCCCATGACTATATGAAATATTCTGATGGCCCAACCACTTTTAAACAGAAATTTTTGTTAACATACTTAAATTGAGACGATTTCATTTCCGAAAAGAAAATATTATGCGTTATATAAAAAAAAATCATTTAGCATAGTTATCAGGAATTATATTTTGCATGCTATTGAACTCATTATTGAACCATACTTTCTTTCAAACATTTAGAATTATTTGTAATATACTCACAATACCAAATTCACTTATTAAGAAGCTGTCCACAGTCACACCAGAAGTGTAATATATATATATATAAGAGATATTTAGCCAACTACTACCACAGTTTACTTGAAAGATCCTGTGAGAAAAACACAGTTAAAAATTACGATTTGGACCAACAGTCATGTATTACAGGGGACAAACAGCCATGTATTACAGGGGACAAACAGCCATGTATTACAGGGGACAAACAGCCATGTATTACAGGGGACAAACAGCCATGTATTACAGGGGACAAACAGCCATGTATTACAGGGGACAAACAGCCATGTGTTATAAGTTCATGCAGTATTTTTATTTTTGCCTGTATTGCACCTACCTTTCATTAACATTATTTTTATATTGATAATTTGGAAGAATTCATTATCCTTCGAAATTGATTTTAGTTTTTAAGTCAATTTAATTCTGGATCCTTCTTCCATTTTCCCCATAGAATTTTATTCGGTTTAAATTTTTTACTAAACGTTTGTTGTAAACTGCCTACAAATCTTTATATGTTTAAAGGGTTGTCCTTGTTTAATTTTGATTTGCCAAAACTGTAAATAACTGAGTGATTATAAATGACATATTTATGGGTTGTTTTTTTTTACTATAGGTCATTATGTTTATCAGAGGCTGTGATATCTTTATGTGGAACAACAAAAGCCTATAATACAGGATATTTGTCATGACATTCAGGTAAGCCGAATAGTAGTGGGACCCTAAAATGATTTTTACAAAATCTCATTACATTTACAATAACATTTTTCACCAACTCAAACTCTTAATCTTTTTAGTCATAAGAGTCTTAAAGGTAGAGCTAGTATAAATTTATTTGAAAAAAATAATTTAATTGCACTGTTCCGAATATATGTTACACATAGACAATTATTAATTTAATAACTAACAGAAAAGCATTGCAAGAATAAATTGATTCTTTGTGTGGTGGCTCTTTATTTAAATGCAGTTCATCTGAAATAACTAAATCAGTACATTAAAAAAAATTTAATGTATGACATATTAGATCATAAAACAACAATTTTTCTATTCTAAATATTGTTTAAATTTTAAAAAATTTTATTATTTTTAAAAAAATACTTTTCTGTGTAATAAATTTTACATTTGTCTCTTAGAGTGTGATGTCGAAAATTACAAGTCACATTGGAATGTGCTAAGATAAGGATGATTTGAAGCAACAATTGCTAATACTTTGACAATGGCAAAGTTGTGGAGCTTGGCAGCCTATAGCGTTTGCTTCCTTATAAAGGAGCCCGACAGACTTTTCTTAATGCTGCCACCGACTTAGTTTGATTTCCCACATGTCCTTGACCTCTTGTGCCAGCAGGTAACAATGAACTATGACACTCAACAATATACATTCAGTCATGGGTTGGCTCCCGCCCCTCAGCTTCACATACAACAGCAACAGCATCACCTGCAACAGCATCAGCTGCAGCAGCACCAGTTTCAGCAACAACAGCAGCACATTTTCCAGCAGCAATACAACCATGCCATACCTACATCCAACGTCTACCAGTTTCAGTTTGCTGGAGGAGGAAACTCAATTTTTCAACAAAAAGACGCACACCAGATGGGACTGTCGGGTGGGATGCAGCAGAGAATCGGCCAACACAGTATGGTCTCCCAGCCTTTCATCAAGCAAGGAATGCCACTTGGTGGAATGGATGGGCATTCCATCCACGTAGTAAATGGGCTCGATGGGATGATCTACTCGCACCCTAAGAATAGTTTAAAAATAATCACCAACCCAGATAACAGAATGATGCAGCAGCCAGAGGGCAGTCTAGGTATGCAGCAGGCGATTGTTGGTGTGGATATGGTGGGAAGCTCCAACTTCATAGAGCAGAACCTGGACACTCAGCAACATCAGAACCTTGCTGTCACAGGTCAGGGTAATATGTTCACATACAACAAACACTTCACTGGTTGGCTGCAGCCCCAGAATATCAATGCGGCCAGCAATGATCAGTGCCAGGCCATTGGTCAAAGTTCGTTGCCGTCTTTTAACCACCTGTGGTCAGGGTTTCACCAGAAGCAGTTGGGCGTGGTTCAGCATCATCAACATATCAACCAGTATCAGCAACCACAGCAGTTTCAGAATCCCATCCACCAACAGCAGATCCAAACTCAGCAGTTCACTGCATCCAGCTTCCAGGCTCTGCCAGGTATTCAGATGATAAAGATGCAGCATCAGGGGCCGCAGCAGAAACCACAGCAGATAACTGTGCCTGTGTCGATACAATCAGTTCACCATCTTCCCTCGCAGTTTCACTGCTTCTCACCTTCCCAAGTTAATTTAATGTCTTCAAACTGTGGGGATAAGGAACCTGAAAGAGGAAATGTAAATGCCGAAAAGGGGATACACACTTCATTATATTCAGCACAGCCTTTACAAAACTGCCAGTCTATATCATCCCCTTGTGTGGAGCATAAATCTACCACTGCCGTTACCTATACAATTTCAGGGCCTCCAAAAGTTACAGTTACTCTGGATTCGCTTACTCATTGTGAAACATTCCCTCCTAATCGGTTCCTGGGGAAATCTGATATGTCTTTCAACCCTGATATAGCATCTTCAAATTGTGTAGGTAAAGGAAAAACTGTAAAAATTTCTAGTAATTTAACTTCAGCTGTCTTACAAGAAAATTGTTCCCACCAGCGACAGTGGCAAGCTGTGCAAAACCAAAGAACTCAGTATATACCCAAACCCCTTTTTCACACTTCCTCGACTGGTAGTTCTTTAGAGAGATCTTCTTCTGAAAGCTCCAACTTTTCATCCCCCCCTTACACTTTTACACCACCAAGTAGTACAGACTCTTTATTTTCCCCCGTATGCTCACAGTTTCCCAAGGTGAACGATTTCACTTCAGGCAGAACTATGGCAATAACCCCATCACCATCAGCAGCACAATATTTAGCATCGCCTGTAACGTCATCCTCTCAAATTATGAGAGAAACAGTGCAAGCTGCCTCCCTTGTTGCAACAGTGCCCACACCAGCTTTATCCATAGCTTCAACGTGTACAACAACAGTGACCACCACAGTGGCGTCCAGCTACCACTCTGTTGCCTTAACAACAACATCCATAACATCAACAACTCCATGTTCCAGGGAAAGCACAAGTATGGCATCAGTTCATTCAGGGGTACTGTTAAGCAGCTCTAGCAATGTATTGTCAGAACACTGTAACCGATCATGCAGTCCTGCACAGAAGCAGTTTGTATCAGGGTCTGGTGTTGCTAATGGGAGGAAAGTGAAAGTCCCTTACAGCTGGCAGAGGAAATTAGAGAATGGAATTATTGAATATTTAAGGTAAAAATTTTATATTTAATGTAATTACTTCCTGCTTTTAGAAAGATAAAAAACCTGCAGCTGTGTTGCTCTGTTATGATGCTAAGTAAAGATTTAATAAATAAAATCTTGTTCTTGCATATATGCATAATTATACTTTGACATGAGTATTTGCTTTAACTTTGTTTAAACACATTTTTAGCATTAAAAGAAGTCATCGTTCTCAGTCTTTTTCATTTAAGGGCAAATTATAGAAATTAAATAATTATATCTAAACCTTTTCAGGGTTTTCTTTCTTAAACTTACAAAGCTGTATTTTTCTTGCTACTGTGATTAGGGGCATTGAAGAATAAATTTATGTTTACATAAAAATTAAGTTATTTTGCAACTCTTGCATATACAGACCTCTTAACTCTTACAATTTTGCTGTACATTGAATGATTTTGAGATTTATTTTACAGCTTTACATTCTCTCTCTCTCTCCCTCTCTCTCTTCCCCCCCCCCCCCCTCCCTTCTTGGTTCCAGCACTTCTTTGTAAATGATGTCCTCATTTGTTAATTCATTCTTATTTCAATAAATTTTATGTTATGCTGAACTGACTTCGAGTTGTTAAACCATGTTACATTTCACCGGCAACTTTTTTTACCATTAACAGACTGATAATGTGATCAGCATGTTCACCCCAAAATATTAATTGATAACTATAGCAGATACATGTCTGCAAAACCAAGTGAGAGCATATTGCAATATAAATCTCAATCATCCACTTTTGGAAGTTACCTTTTTTGACGTCAGCTTAACTCGATTGCACTCAACATGCGATGCGAGCAGTTATTGTATACATTTCATGCACTGTTAATGTTCATTTAATTACTATTTACATACTGTATTGTACGATATTGTATGATTTTAGGAGTTCGATGGTAACCAGGTCTGCAAATATAATTTTTTTATTTTTTTTCAGTCCCAGTGGTGTGGTCTTGCAATCCTTGGACCAAATATGCAGATATTTATTGAGCGATACAACCTGTAAGTGCGGACTAGAGTGTCCGTTGCAAGTTGATACGTTCTTTAGCTTTGACCCAGAGGTTGGTAATCAGCCCTGGAATTCCAATACAAGTTGTGAAGACTTAGGGAACCTTTGCAATCATAAGCGTGAAATCATTGCTCTGGCAGCTTTCAATAGCTCACAGGCTGAAGCAGTGGAAAAATCAGCAGGTATGTTGAACTGTATGGTATTGTCACTTCCTGGTGGCTTTCCATTTTTCAGCTAGTGTGTAGCACCATTTACTTTTTTTATTGTATTGGTACCTAAATGAGTATTGGCCTCTTATCATATTCAGGAATGTTCGCAAGTGCACTGTAAGAGCTCTCCTCCCCTTTAAGTGGAAGGTCTTAACTCTGTCCAATTAATCCCTACAACTGTTGTCCTCCTGTTGTTCATTTGATATTTTGCCGCATCTGCAAGTTTCTATGCATAGTTTCTCTGGTCTCTTCATACTGAGTTCTATTGTTCTTTTGTCTCAAAAGAAGTTAAGTGAATCAGACTTAAGTTCATTCTCAGTTTTCTTTAGAATATAACATTTTCTAAATGTCACCTCAGGTGTTAATATATTTAGATGTTACATTTGTATACTAGCATAAGTATATTGTATTTGAAAGAACCATGACGCCCCCCTTTATCTGATCTTGAACCTCCTTTTCATAGCTGGACGGTCAGGCCTAATAGGTTGCTAAAATTTGATTTATTTTGGCACCAGAGTGAGAACAACTGAAGGTGATTAGGCAAATTTACACAAGGTAGGGTGAAGCTTAACAGAAGACCAGAAGAAAATTGATCACGTTGGTTTCATCATGGAAAAATTGAAACCTATTAATGGCCTGTAAAATAGAATGAAATATAATTGTAGTTGAGATCAAGGTACATATCGTGATGATTAAGTCCTGGTTTAACAAGCTTCATTAAAACAGAGGAGCCCTTTGTATTAAGTCCTTAAGTCTTTAAATATTAATTGAAGATAAATTATACGTCATAAGATAATCAATTTGAAACATAGTTAATATTGAAATTCTAATTTTGAATGAAAGTGAGTGAAAGATAGTAAATCTTAAATATTTTTTGAATATTTTGTTATTAACACATTTAATTTTGAGAGCAACTTCCACTACTAGCACTTAAAAAGATTTGATACCTCTTAAATAAAGTCATGATGAAATATTAATATTTAAACTTTTCATGTATGTTGAAAGTTTTAAATTTTACTTTGTTTATTCTCATGAATGATTTATTTAGTGAAATTTTATTTTCTTACTTTCTTCCAGTTCACGGAGTGCAATTGGGTAAAAAGAGACAAGACAGAAAGTCTCTCAGTGGTGATGAAAGCTTGATTGTTTCCCCTTTGAAGAGGCTGAAGACGAGTATCACAAAGGCTGTCAATAAACAATCCATGTTGCTAGGGAATGCATCACAGCCATCACATGTGGATAGTGTGCTGTCAGCAGATGATAAATCTTCTTTAGTCAACAGTGATTTGCTATTTGCCAATGTCAATGATAGAGCATCTGTTTCCCCTTCCAACTCACAAGGCACTCATGAAAGTGGAAGCTCTCTTGGAGATTTTTCAGGACAGCCAAGCCCAGTGGGTCATCCCAAACAAATGCCTGCATTCCCAAGACAGCTGTTGGATGCTGAAGAGGATGGGAAATTGGTGGGGTCATCGCCACATCCTTGTGCTCGGGCAAGCCCTAATTTGAATAAACAAACATTCCTTATGCATCACCAGCAGGCAGTTCCAGGGGGGAAACATCAGAGTTTTTCTGGGGGCAACAGCAGTGGAGGTCTGTTTGATCAAGGCGGTGGAAGAGAAACGCCCTTGCAGAATCACGCCTCGGGGAGGGTGATTTCAACAAGCAAGCAATACCACCATGGAGATCTTCAACAACAGGGCCAGGCTTTGAAAAACTCCAATATCTACTTCCAACAAAACCAAATGTATCTCAACAACCCCCAGCTGGCACAGCACACTTCTGAGGGTTTTCCCCCTGCAATGTGGAAAGGTTCTAGCCCTAATAGATCAGGACCCATCCCTCACCAGCACAGCCCGAGAACTTTTCAGCCTGATATTAAATTTCATCATTCAAAGTACAGCAACCCCCAAACTAACACTTTCCCCAAGCACAGCACACCGCAACAGCAACAAGTGGCTGGCCTCTCCTGGCTGGACCCAAAAAAAACAAAAACAAAACGGCCAAAAAGTAAGAAAGACAAACAGAAACAGAACACCAGCATAGTCGATCGCAGCTCCCCGTGTGCGAAGTCTCCATCAAAAACAGTGAAAAATGCAGCAATACCGTCCACAGCTGTATCGTTTTTTGACAATCCTACAGTATTTGTTGAACAGCAAACTGCCATTATAAACAATTCTATAGCTTCATGTCAGATATCATGTTCCTCACCTACTCCCTATAGATCAGACTCTACAAATACAAAGCACATCACTACCTTTCCATCATATAAGAATTTAAAAGTGGGCAATTCACATTCTGAAAGTGGTAAAAGTTTGGGAGTTCTAGACAACTCAGTGGGATTAGACAATCTGGAGATTGGCATCAAAACTGAGACAGATGAACAGAAGAGCTCCACGGATTTGGAAAGCAATAGAAGTTTCTCAGATACAGCTGAAAATAATGATTCTGCTTATTTGAGTCAAACTGGAAGTGACCAGGAAAGGTCAGACACAATCAGTGGCTCGGACTCTGTTGAAACAAAATCGAAATGTTCTGATGTCTATGATTTTAATATGTCTGAAGACAGAGAAAGCAAACCCTCAGTGATGAAGCAAACTGATATCATTAACTCAGAACCAAGTGAAAGTGATGGAGAGTTGGCTTCACCAAGACCCAGCTCTGCCCAGAGTAAAAATATGCGTCCAGTTAAAATAACTGAAAAGAAAACCACTAATAAAATAAAGCCTCAATTAAAAGCCTGCTCGAATAAGAGAGAGATAGCCAAGCTGGATGTAGAATTGTTAAAGAAGAACTGGCCGGGCAATCTGAATGGAGACCTTTCTCAGTTACTAGCCTCCAACAACTGGAACATTCCAGCCCTACAGCAAGTGCTTGCCCAGTATAATGCGGGGGATCCAGGCCAACTGAATACAGCCATCCAGCAAGCAGTATCACAAGCCGCAAGTGCAGGGGTTGAGTTTCCGGCCAGTAATTTATTGTCTGCAGCTGCGAGGGCCCAGCTCAACATGCAGTACAAGGATCATGTGACTGTCACTTTGTCAAGTGGTGTTGTCAACACGCCAGCACTGCACACAAGCAAAAATGATGTTCTGGTTTCAACAAGCCCCTGCGCTACAAGTCACACTGAACTGAAAACTTCAGTGTCAAATACATTGTGTGGATCTGTTGTGAATCCATTAATTCCACACCTTCACCAGCCTCATTCTTGTATACAACAGCTACCAAACAGTTCGAGCCTTATAGGTAACATGATGCAGCTCCAGCAGTTAGCCTCAGGAAATTTTGCCATGAACATGCTCTTACCAGCTTGTGGTCAGGGTCAGACTTATACATCAGATTCTATTCACACTGGGACATACACAGCAGAGCACGACATGAAGACACCAGGACAAGGAAACATGAACCCTCTCATGACACAAGGTATCCTGGCCACCGTTTCTCAGTCACCGGAGATGGGCTCCCAGTTGAAACTGTCTGTCGCTTCTGTGATTCCCTCCGGGCTTGGCCCCCAAAGTACGCAGGACACCATGTTGCTGAACAGCTTTGGGCCACGCATGATAGTCAACAATCCCATGCCCCCCGTGTCTGTGTCTGTGGTAACTAATGTGACTAAATCTCTGGCACAAGTTGTGCCCACCATTGGCATTAACCACACTGTATTCAGCGCCCAGCAGCTCATTAACTCGCAGCAGAGCACTGCGCAAATTATAAACACAGCTGGTGCACCCCCTGGAACCCATGTGATAAACTCTTCACCTCAAGGGCCACAACTGGTCAGCTCGGCACCTCAGGGGACGCAGTTTGTGAATCCCTCTGGACAGGGTGCACAACTTGTCAACAACACATCTCAGGCTACCCAGTTAATGAATGCTCTGTCTGTACAAAGTCTGAACAACCAACTGCTGATTACCAACCCGATCCAACAGGTTTCTCCTTCAAATTCTCTGTCTCAGCTCTCTCCAGCCATGGCGGCTCAGCTGTTGGCCCAGGGGCAGCAGCAATTACAACAAATGTCCCCTTCATTTTTGCAAAGTCAAATTCAAAAGCAGACCCAAAACTCTATGCTTGGTGGCCAAAATATGTTTGCTAGTGTTTCCCTTCCAACTTTGACTGTGACCTCTGACCACTGTGATGTCATAGCCAGCTCCATCCCCCAGAGCAGCTTGATCAGCAGCATTCAGAACAGTCAGAGACCTGAAGATCAGATGGATAAGTCTGATTTATCTAACATGAAGGACCCCATGGGGAATCCTTCAATGTATGCTTCAACAAGCCAGCCTCTGTTTGTCATACCCCAGGGTAATGCCAATCCAGTAATGCAAGTCATAGGCACCCCGCAACAGCTCAGCTCTGCACAGGGTCTGTCGGCGGATATGAACAACATCTCCCAGATCTTCAATCCAATCAGCATACAGCAGATGATGAACACTGTCAGTCTTGGCGGGGTACATCAGCAGCACCAGCAGCCGTTTCAAATACTTCAACTACAACAGCTGTTGCAGCAGATTCAAAACCAAGGTCAGAACCTTCATGGGATTTCTCTTCCACTGAATCAGAGCTCCAGCCCTAGCCAGGCCACCCTGGGACCTCAGACTGTTGTAGTTCCACAACAGAGCCTTCAGCTGAATTCAGTCATGGATATAAACACTCTGCACTCCAGCCTGTCCCCAGTGGCCCAAGGTTACCAGAATCAACTGTCACCGGCCGCAGCCCAGCTTCAGCACATCTCGTCGGCTCTCACCGTCCATCAGGTGACCCCAGTTAACACCGGCGGGGCTGTTGGCGTCATACACAACACTGGAGTCCAAGGCTTGATCCAGGCTCCTCCCAAAAGCCTGTCCTCTGTAGTAGCAACAGTCCAGCAGTCTCAGCAGATAGCCACAGACCAGGTAAATTCCATTAACAAAACCCAAACCATAACTCCCTCAGGTATCATGACCCAGGAATCCAGTGGTCCATCAGCCTCGGTACAAACTTCGATAAATAACGCTTCTAAAATCTCATCTGTTTCTAACGCAGGAACAAAGCTATTACATTCGGGTAAATCATCTAAATCTAAATCTGCAAAGTCCAAAAAGTCAGAAACCAAAAGAGTCGTTGATCCAGAGACTGAGAAAAATGAAGAGGATATTGTTGCAACAGTACAGCAAATTTTAGCGCAGGCTGTGCAGCAGCAAAAAGAATTGATATTAGCTGCTAAAAACCAGCCCCCACCTACTCCAAAGGGCAAAAGTAAAAAGTCTCAGTTGAGATCAAAGTCAAATCTAGGATCTAAGGAACATGACCTGGGAAAACTGGCAAGCATATCTGACGAGTCTGGCTTTCTTAAATCAGAAGGCTTCTCGATACAGGATAAATTAGCCTGTGACGTCACTTCAAAGTGTTCAGAGACTGTTGATATGAGCCATAGCCACTCAGCTCCTGTTACCAACTCTAGTCAAAGTGAAGTTATCCAGTCAACAAGTCTATCCAACCACATCCAGCTTTTACCTCCGTCAGCACAGATGCATAGCTCCTCCCATGTTCTTAGTACAGGTGTCACTACTCCTTCAGTCACTAGTTTTATGGAACAAACCCTTAATGAAACAACCAATTTAGTCAATTCAAATGTTAAAAAATCTGCCATATCACTTAAAGATCACTTGTCCTCCATCATTTCTAGAGACAAAGATGGAAGCAAAAATAAAGCAGCTGGGGGTGTAGTTCAGAGATCAGGGAAGGGTAAAATGATTATAGAATCTAGGGCAAATCATGCACAAAGTGTGCCAATTTTAAATGGCGAAGTGTCTGCTGCTCCAAAACTTGTTAGAAAATCTGTTAAATAAATTTTCCCCAGCCAAATCCTTAAAAGTATTTTTAGTTGCCTAAGAAATAATGCAGTCTGACCGTATTTTAGCATCTAAAAAATATGTGTAAGCTTCATTCCTTTTTATTAAATTAAAAAAAACATTCTTAGTGCAGATCGCAATGAAAAATGTCAATAATGAGAGAGAGAACCTATAATCCATATAAATATATATATTCAGTAACCTCACAAATATCATCTTATTTTTCTCTCTCCAACTTCAGTGTCCACATAGAACTAATGAGCACTTCTTGAGGCCAGACTTTTATCAACAACACCAACAAATTCTGAGTTGAAGAAGGCAAACCTGGCGAGAAACACTATACCCTAGAAACAAATTATTACCTATGACAAACAAATTGCAAAAGAATGTGTGGCATTTACAAAAATCTACACTCAAATGCCAAATCTTGTAAATATGAAGATGAACACAAGTGACATTTGAAATGTTAAATGATTTTTTTTTTTTTTTTACTGGTGTGAACATATTTCTTACTGTTGTTTTTCAGTTTTTCTAAACTTTTTTTTTTTTTTCATATTTTTTTAAGAATCTTCATAAATAAAAAAATAAACAAAAGTGAAATTTGAAATGTTAAATGATTTTTTTTTTTTTTTTACTGGTGTGAACATATTTCTTACTGATGTTCATCAGTATTTCTAAACTTTTTTTTCATTTGCATATTTATTTAAGAATCTTCACATGCAGAATTGAGATAATTATATAATATAAGCTTTTCATATTCATTAAATAGAAAAATGCACTTTTTTTAAAAATAAAAAAAATCTTGCTTTGTTTTCAAAGAAATTATATTAAGTATACAGATGAGTCAATTGTAATATTTTGTGGTGCTGAGTATTAGAGAGAGGGAAATAGATTCTGTCTCTTTTGAGCTTATACTAGGAGTTAAAAAAAAACTTTCATCACTTTTGCTTTAGACTCAATAAAATTTGTTCTTTCATTGACTCATATCCGAGGCTATGTGATGTAACATACGTTTACAAACCTTTGTTGTGTTTTAAATGATCTGTTGTTTTTTTCACTTGCATAATAATTATAATAATAGTCTCTATAAAATGATTTATTTTGAGCACTGTTTACAATATAGTACTAGTCCATGGCCTGCCATGCTAAACTTAGGGCTATACCATTTAAGTACTCATCAAGCTACAACATATTATAAGTGTGTGTGTGCATGCTGTGGTAAAAACCATTGAATAGTCCATAGATTATAAAAACCAACACAGTGTTCAATACATGAATTTATAATTCTTCCTCCATCTTTGTATAATACCACTAATACCATAATAAATATGCAAACTCACATCAATTTTATACAGTATTTTTATTTGTTTAAGAACTGGTAGCAAAGGTTTTGATAAAACTTGATTTGTAACAAATTAATACTAGGATTTCATTTACTTGTTAGCTTCCATGTCATGAGCTTAGTAATCCTTTAGGTTTTTGCAGAGACCTTTTCTTTTCTTTTTTTTGCCTTGACATTCTCTCTATTGATAGTGATTACAAAATATTATTTCATCAGTGATTCTAATATTACAACATATTCAAGTCATGTAAATAATCATTGCTTAAATTATTGCACTTTAAAATTTCACTCATAAGCTATCCATTGCTGGTTTGCGGTCATTTCTCTAAATCTTATATGAGAGTAGTACATCTGTCTTTTCCTGGTATGCTCTTTTTCCCTTTAGATTGAAGCTCTGCTCATTTAACTGAATACATACCATTGTTACTGGTAGTGTTTAGGTCAGTATTGATTTTTGATAACTGGAGACTTTGGTTGATTTAACTCTTCCAATATTATAAGCGGTTACGATCAAGAATCTACTTACAGTTTTATTGATTCTTCATTTATTCATTACAGCACACACCCTACCTACACCAAATCATATACCTACACAAATACATTCTTACATTTCTTACCAGTTTGTGATTAATAATTATGGTCCAAGTATTTTTTTTAAAGACATAGTTATTAGTAATAGTATTTTGTGTCTGTGCTAAAATGGCATTTTAAAAAAAAATTGAACATTGATTAATTGTGATTATTTTATAATGCTTTTTTTTTTTATTTTTTTTTTTTATTTTTAGTACATTTGAATATATTTTTCTACCATAAAAAGTATTTGTTTTAAAGACATTGTTTTTAGTAATAGTTTTTTGTGTCTTTGCTAAAATGGCATTTTAAAAAAAAATTTAACATTGATTAATTGTGATTATTTTATAATTTTTTTTTTTTTTATTTTTTTTTTTTATTCTTAGTACATTTGAATATATTTTTCTACCATAAAATTGTGATCACTTTTTCTTCCTTCCATGTCCCACTCCCAATCAAATGTTTTGTTTTGTTGTTGATTTTTTTCCTCCCCCTCACAATTCCATTGGTTTGCACATGTTGATTCCCACCCTCCCCCACTTCTCTTGGTGATCATGCATAACAAATGACTTTGAAACAGACAGCATGTGATTAGTTTTATTTTAAATTTAATCTGTTTGGTTGTGTGCAATGTAAATGATACTTGGGGAATGACCTTAGTTTTCTTTTATCACTGAGTTGGAGGCAATTCAGGTTTGTGACATCTGCAATAACATTTTTCCCTTCATAATTATTTATCATTAAGAAGCTGTTAGAAGATAATGTCAGAAACTATTACAGCCACTGTCCATAACTGCTATTTTGTGTAATTATTGAATATTTTGCTTTTAAGGAAAGTCTTGTTATGTATTGGTTAAAGTAATAGTTGTAAATTCCCTCAAAGCACTGGAATAAAATAAACTTGAATTTAATAAGACTTGTGTTAAGTTGTAAGAGAAAACTTGAGATGTCCATACATTTGAAGGTATGGACTTTTTTTTTTTTTTTTTTTTTTTTTTGGAAATAAAGATAGTGAATTGGTAGAGTGGGGTGTTGCCCTAAAGAAAAAAGTGACAGTACCATTTAAATTGATTTCCTTTAATTGTATTTCCTTCTTTACTTCCTTTTTTTAAAATATTCAAATTAATTACAACTGATTTTAAGTAGAGTCTTAAAATAAATAATTCCGTACTTATCTCCAATCCTTAATATAGTGCTTTATTCAATCAGCTCCCCCGCCCCCTTCTCTTTTCCTTCTCTCCCCCCCTTGCCACCCCTGTCCTTTAAAATTAATTACACACATGGACAGATTTTAATTCAAGGAGTCATGGGTTTCATTTTGGCCAGTTTTAACAGGATTTGGAGATATAAAGAGCTTTGAAATTCTATAATTTACATTATTCCAAAACTTTTTTAAGTGTTGATGACAAACATCTTTGACTCTCACAGTAAAATAAATCAAAATCTAACATTTTACAGTTCTATGTGAACAAAAGTTTATTAAAAATAATTTGCTTATGTCTCTTCAAATAGATCCATAAAAAAAAGAATGAACTATTTTGGCCACTAATTATTACATTTTCAGTTGATATTCTTGGAGCTATAACATTAAAATGGTAGTTGACAAACTTTGGTATCAACCAAATGAACAAGGCCAACAAGACATTTATTTTCAAATTCTTCTCTTTCAAGGCACTGCTATCACAAGTTTTAATGTTATTTGCAGTTTCTTCTTAGGTTTCATAAAAGCACTTCCTAAAAATCAGTGCCTGTTTTAACTATGCTGAAAGACAGTGGCTGTACAACTTGCTTGCTGTGGGTTTATTTGTTACTGGGTTTATTCCTGATGCTTGTGTATTCTAGAGAAATCCCTGTTTTGTCACACAAGACAAAAACCAATAATGAACTCATTCTCTACTCTATGTAGATGTGCCATTTTTTTCTATTGTGATTTTTAACAAAATTAAACTCCATTGCTTAAATATAATGTAGTTCTTTGAAATTAATGCCTTAGATAAAGGAGAAGGTTACATTTTGTGTGAAAAAAATCTTTATCCTGTAATTTACATCATATGGTTATAAGTATTGTATACATATAAATATATTTAAAGGATATGTATACATAATATTAAAATGCTTTTATCTTTTCAAGCTACTTTTTTTAAATATGTGAGTTTAAGACATTATTTATTTGTACTTTTTCTTGTAAATTTGACATGATTCATTTTGGCAAACTTAAAAAATTGCATGAATGCTGACATTTTTTTAAAGAAAAAAAATGGGCGTGAAAAAAATATGTAAGAAACCACTTTATGATACTTCATAAAACAATAAATGTTAAATATGCATTTGAAAAGTTTATAAAATGATGTTTTATTGTGTCATAAGACAGCATTTTTGTTTGAGATATTATTGTTTACTAAGACAGGATTTGTGTTGAGTGTGCAAGATGTGCTGTGAGATCTGTGATGGTCTATGAGGTTTTATGCCACCATGACACTTACTTACTCCCCTTCTTCAAATGATTAATTTATAATATCATAATGCACTGCTTTTATTGTGAAGTCAAAACTTTTGACTACTTAGACATGTAAAAACGGATTTTTACCATGTAGCATCTTCAGTATCAAACCACAGTTAAATTTGAATCAACAAATTATACTGATTGGAATGTAAACTATTGAATTATTTGGAGATATTAAAATCAATTCAAAGAGTTCAATACTTGTCATATTGTGTTTTAGGTTATTCATTTCCATTGATAGTGGCAGTTTTCAGCATTGACTCTTTTTTGGGCATTAAATCTTCATTTCCTCCATATCATGAAATTGAAATTCATCTGCATTAACACAACACTTCATTGCAGACCAAGCATTTATGTGTTACTGGTGGTACTCGATCTACACAAAATATTTTTCAGGTCTGATTTTTGGGGGGTGGTCGGATAATGCTTATTTATAGTGCAGAGATATTAAGCTAATGCATTTGTTTATAATTATGTAAACTAATTTAGCTTATGGTAAAGATGGAACTACTTTATTGCACAACTTGCCTTGGGTTGAAAATGCTGCTCCAACATCAATGGGTACTTGCTGGAGAAATAAACCCAAACCCAAAGAGGAAATTCATATTGATATTGAAAGTCTTCAGAATAATATAATATAAAAATAAACTGGAGGAATTCAAAAGGAATACGGTCTCAAAATCTTGTTTTTGTCTCACAACAGTGAGTTGCCCATATTTTTAAACAAGAAAGGCAATTTGAAAAATTATTGTATCAAAAGTAAATTAGCCAAAGGGATGTTTTTCAAAGAGTACTCCATCATTCAGTTAATTAAAATGAGATTTTTAAAAATAATTCCCAATTATTTTTTTCACTTGTGTATTGGAAATATGTGCAACTTGCCATTTTCTCAAACATGTATTTCTTCCATTACATTCAAATACACATTTTTTAATTCACTTTGCTAAGGAGGAGATTTTCAGAGGGCTTTGAAAATTATCACAGGTGGTAAGGACAGTTTAGGAAGAAGTTTCAATAAGTGATTTGAGAAGTTTAAAATTAAACATTCTCTTCCAGACATGAAATTAATTTACTTATCTTGTGTCATATGTAAAAAAAACCCAGTCATTTGATGTAGTTCTACATTTGATGTAGTTCTACGGAGTAATGAGATATCAACTCTTTTAAAAAAATTAAACTTCAGACTTGATTAAGAATGTGGCTGACGTGTTCCAAAAAATCCTTTTAATAATTACATTCTCATTGTACATTATTATTATATGCAGTATCCACGATTATTTATTGTTTAAATGTTGTGTCTGGTAGGGGATGAGCCAGTTGTGTATTGGGTATCACAAAAATCATAGATTTAAAAATAATTTATGTCAAACCCAAAAAGGTGAATTTCCCAATTGTGAAGACATATCTCCTGGCTTTTCCAACTGCAATATGTGATAAGTGACGACTGACCTTTTCTATAAATAAATTACAAGAATAAGGGTGGAATATGACATTCAAGTTTCTTTATTTTTTCTGTCTTGTAAAAAGTAACAACAGTTGATCAAGTTTATTTATATATTTTTTTTCCCTTCTGTAAGATGTTGGTTTTAGCCCAACCTCATGTGGGGTTAATACTTTCCTTGGAACAAAATACAATTTTACTGAACATACCAGGTTGATCTTGTTCTTTATTGTGTGTTCTGTTTTAGTATTGTTGTAAATACACACTGCAATGTAACAGTCATGGTTCAAAATTGTCAAGTAAGAAATAAAGACGTAACTGAACATTTAGTAAAACTTTAAATATCATTCAAATGTCTTAAAATGAGCTCCTAGAATTCAAAATTTCTTGTGCAGATGATATTGTTTTATTAGGTGTTTTTTTTAACTCTTGAATAATAATGGGCAAAATTGTATAAATTTTTATTCCCTTCAATTTCCCTAAAATAACTACAATATCTTCAGATACAAGCTGGTGTAATAGTCATCCACAGACTTTCATATCCAAATAATAAATATGTAAAAATACTTTCAACTAATTCAAATCATTTCAATCATACATGTCCAGTTTTGGAAAAGATACTCTTTAAAGAAAAAAAACAACCTATTATTTATAAAACGCTATTATTTTGGAGCAGAAATCAAATATATAACTCAAAACTACAAATAGTTTAGTTTTGTGAATCACATGACACAAGTCTTATAATAAATGCTTATTTTATTTATTGAAGAACATCCAGATCTAGGGCTCCCTTCATCACACGACAAATTAAAATAATCTTATCTCAACAAGTCTTTTATTCATGTTTGCTTCTTCACACACTGTCATTTTCACTAAATTTTTTTTGTAAAATGGCTTCACTTCACAGGACTTTCAAAGTTCATCTTTTATAACCTTGTAACATATGTACATAATCAATAATCACAGTTATGTAAGATATTTCTTATCAAAACTCTTCCAATTTTTTTATCTCTTCTGCTAAGTTTATATTTGTTCCTGGTGGAATAAATTCTGGTGGATTTTTGCCGAACACAATATTAAGAATAGCTCTAGCTGGATTAATGCACACTTGAGGGTTTTCAGGCTCATCATCAACTTTGCCATTCTCTTCACCTTCAACGTCTTCCTCATCATCAAGGGTTTCATCAGAGCTGAAATGTTTACAAATGTATCAGCAGTCATAAACTAAACAATAGTGTTCACTAATGATCAAATGGCATAAAATCAAATATTTATCCTGCTTGCCACAGTATACTGGATGAAGAAAACTGCATGTAATTATAGTAATAGTTATATATAAGGGAATATTGAACTTTAAAAGGGAATATGTCTCAATCGTTTCCACACCAAATGTAATTTTTTTGTGATATTTTCATTTCTACTGTTAGCTGAAGAAGGCTTTATGCCGAAACGTCCGTATCTTTTTGTCCTGTTCTCTAATTCAAGCTTCCACAAACCTCGTTTTACTATTTCATATAAATAATAAGGTGATATAACTGTTAATTTATTCCATACCTTGTGCTAGTGTCATCACTGTCACTATCATCCTCATCTTCTTCTTGATCATCTAATGCAGCTCTTTCATCTGAAAATTTAAAAAAACAAACTATTTAAGACAATCTTAAAACTATCTCAGTTACAGTACCACAAGCTCTATAAAAGTAATAAATATCTATAATTGAACCATCACAATTCTAACAGACATGTTAGGCTACAGTAAAAGTATTCCTTCTTTTCAAACTTTTTAAGTTAATGAAAGAAATAAAAAATTTCTATTAAAAACATATACCATTTTATTGGTCATTTACAAATACCACACTATAAAGATATGAAATGACCACTTATATTTTTGCCAAAGATGACACTCACCCAACTTTAACTTTCTTTGTATTAATGGCTGAAACTTGAGGGCCTCTGGATTCTTGGGCTCATACAATAAAACTTTAATAAAAAAAACAACTTTTAAAATGTTAAGAAAAATAGAGTTATGAGGGATCATTAGAGTTATTAATAAATTTTTCAAAACTATTTAGTCTACTCATTAAACTTTTAAGGTGCAATAGCACTGTACATTCTACACTGTTGATGAATATAGAGTTGAAAGAATACTGATTATGCTCAATCATACAATGACTGCTTCATGAGTGCCATACAAACAATAGAAATAGAACTACAAAATATTTAAATAGAATTTAATAAAAAACATACTCATTTGACACAATTTTTCAGCATTCTTGTAATCCTTTCTCATAAGGCAATCAACAAACTGAAAAAAGATTTTTAAAAGTTATTAAAATTGTGTTTTTTTATTATTTTGATGAATGCAACAAAGTGCTATTGTCAACTTTTTTAAAAAGCGAGTTACCTCTATTCCTAATAAATATCATTGTAAAAAGTGTTAAGACCCTTAAAAGTAAATAAGCCATGATAAAAATGAAAAGAAAATGCATTGTTACAGAAGCATGATGAGAAAATTAAATAACAAATAGATAAAATAAATAAAAACCTCCATTAAAAGCTCATTGGGAGCTCTCCTGTCTACTTCTACAGGGTCTTCATCTTCACTATCACTATTCTCACTATCTTCATTGTTTTTTTCAGAATCCTTGTCTTGTAACTTAGCTGTGGGAATATCCTTAACATCAATGGAGCTGATAAAATCAAATGTGTATTCCTCATCTTGATACAATTTATCTGTGGCATTCTTTTTGTCATCATGATTTTTAATTTGGAGACGCAATTTTGCAGCATGCTGAGGAGGCTCTTGATCCTTTTTGTCTCTAAAAAATGATAAAATGATTTTAAAGTTATCTTAAAAGTTTGAGTTTAAAAAGCTATCTTTATATTCTAAATTCATTAAGTTGTATGGTGTTATATATTAAAAAAATCAAAGCCAGGGCTGTAGCTAGGCAATATGCTATTTCTGTTCCCGTAGGCTTTAGCATATACCTGATACTAATCAATTTCAAAACAATTGACTGTTACCACCACTTGGCTTCATTCATCAAGATACAATTATATGATAAAAAGATAAATGTTTAACAAATAATTTAGGTTGATTTGTTTTTTATGACACACCTAAACAGACAACAACCAAGATTGCAGTTAAATATCCATAATAAAATGGACTAGGCCATATAGTAGAATAATATCCTAATGAAAGGTGTTTATATAATTAATACCTGGCATGTCCTTGTTTTTTGTCCTTTTCTCTCTTTGCTGTAAAAAATAAAGTACAAAATATCTAAATTAAAACTTATGAGAAAATTGCTTAATAAATAAACTACAACTGATGCTGTGTTGCAAGGAAGCTCAATAACATGTTGAAGTTTATCCATTTACCTTTCCATATTAATATAAGGCATACTGACCAAATGTTTTTCTTTTCAGCCCTATCTAGGAATATTTAATCCTTAAAAAAACATGACAGTTTAAATTATTATTTTAAGACTGGTATGGTGAAAACAAAAGATGGTGCATTAAATGGAAGTAACAAAATAAGAGTAAAATTATTTAGGACTGTTATTTTCTTTAAAATAGGTCTAGTGATACTAATACACTTACCAGTATTTGAAGTTTTATCAAAAGAATTCATTCTCTGTGTTTCAACTTTCAACCCTTGTAAATCTGCATTGTCAATGAATGCCCCAGAGCTGTCACAGAAAATGTTTTAGAGTTAGCTGAATGGGTTATAAAAATAATTTTGACCCTGCAATAATTAAATTGTAATTACATGACCTAATTTTTAGGACAACATTGATTTCACTCTCAAATCACAATGCTGAATGTTAGGGTAGCATTTGATTACTATGGAACCAATTACATACTTTTAAAAAAGAACAGCTAACTCTCATGATGTTCTGAAACATAATATTATATTGCTTATGGCTTCACAGAAGAGTAGAGTGTTTAGAAGTGCCAAACAGAACATTCTGGCTCGTTCTACAAGTCAACAATATTTTACATAATAATTTAAGTTCAGCAAAAAAGAAATATTAAATACCTTTCATTCTTTCGCCGAACAGCTTGTAAAGAGATCTGTTTAGTTGGAGTAATAGATCCCTTGCTAAAAGCTGAGTCTGGTCTGGGTGGGGTTGAACCAATACTTGCTCTAGACCTTATAGTTAAATTAGAGTTAAGACTAGAATAATACTGATAGATCTGTAAGTAGTGTAAGATCCTTATTTAAAAAAAATGAAAGGTCATTTTAGATAATTGTACAAATAAATAACTTTTTGGCTTAAACTTCACTTTTGTTTTACACTGATAGCTGACTTGAAACAGCAGAATGTACTTTCATTTAACTAATGTTATTTGCAATACAGTTTTAACATTTTGATATTTTAAACAAAATTAGGGTACAAAAATAATTAATATTTCTTCAACATAAAGGTATTGAAAGGAGTGAAATTTAAAAAAAAGCTCTGCCTCTTACCATGGTCTTGAAGGAGGTTGTGAGGATATGCAACTTGAACTGGTGCCATTTGTTGCAAAGAGATCTGGACCTGGATGTATGAAGAATATTTTCAAACTATAACTATGAAGTTAGCCAAATCACTGGTATCTTAATTGTTACTTTAGTGTATGTTTATATATTAGATTAAAAAGATATCTGCATGGCTAACTGATGTCTCGTGAACGAAGACTATTAATTAACTGATCTGAATGAGGTGAAGTAAAGCTTTTTTCATTATTAGGCTTTAGTGGTCATTTTTAAGTTAGATTCAAACATTTATTGGCCGAAGTCAGAATATGGGTGTTGAATTTGAATATTATTTACAGAAGGCTTCAAAATTCTTCTCAATTTAACATGCTTAATTGTTAAAATATTTTTGAAACGTGGAAACAACCATGTAAGTGTAAGTCACATGCCAGAGTTAAGTATTGTACTGGAAGTCTCAGTTGAATGCCACTGACTTAAAAGCATGTCATTTACCAGCTCCAGAGTTTTACTACTGGTGCCAAAAAATGAAAAAGAAATAAATTAAGTTTATAATATGTGAATCCAGCTACTAACCATTTCCCTGTATAATCTCAAGACTTCCTGACTGTGACACCAGTTTTCTTGCTGACCTTCAAAAATAGATTTCTATAAAATTGACAAGAGTAATGCTCCTAATTATGCACAGATGCAGTGCAGTCTAGGATATTTTAATTGTAAAAATTTATTTTGTTGTGATTTCCCTGAAAATAAAATTCAAATTTTAGTCAATCTAAATTAAGATAACTAGATTTGAAAATAGCCCTGTGATTCAAAGATATGCTCTCTGCCTCTCAACAATGAACAAGAGGTTTGTCCCAGGTATTCCAAGCATTATGGGTAAGAAAAATATGGAATGGACTTATCAGCCCAATAAGGAAGATATTCTTGCTAAGTAAAAAAAAACCAACACTTCAACCAGTGATGTTGGAAGATAGAAGTCAAGTTGAAGTGGTATTAAAAAATCAGCTGTCTATCTATGCAAAAATGGAAGTAGTTTTATTTACCAGTTAAGTAGCAGCTGCCAGAATAAACCCCAATATAAATTTAAAAATACTTAATAAGAAATACAGATTTAAAAAAGCATTTTACTTTAAAAGTAAAATCATAATTTAAAATCGTTTAAACCCTGGCAATACTAGAAAATAAATCAACACAAATCCAGGCACTTTTGGTTGATGAGGCTTGAATTTGAATGGTGATCCATCTAAGAAAGGGGTGGCCAACCCATGTCCTGTGGATGCATGATTTATCACAATTAACTTACTTGTTCTTCATTCAATTGACTAAGAAATCGGTTTTGAAAAGATAAGTGAGAGAAAAGATAAAATGATATCAATTTAGTTTAATTTTTTTTGTTTTATTATTTAGCATTTCATTCTGTTATATTATTTAGCATTTCATAATGTGCATTAAGAATAGATAAATAATTATATAAAGCATTTTAGTGGGTATTTTTAAAAATATTTTAATATGAGGTGTAATGACATTATTGACATATGGCCGATGAGTGTTTTACTCGCAAACAAAGTGTCCTGCGATGCCTTTTGGGTTGGCCACCCCTGTTGTAAGGGAAGAAAAACTCCAACCACAAACCTCTATTCCCTCTGGTTATTAACAACATGCCGTTATTTTCCTGCAAGTTAAAGACAACTAAAAGCTTTTTTTTTTACCTGGATGAGTTGGGTGTTCTTACACCTGTTGAGTCTTTAGAATTATTTTGGTTATAGCTCAGCTCCATAACAAGGTAAACTGACTATCAAGGTTTAATGTATTAATCTGAACAAGCTGTGCTCATTCAATAGTTTCTGATGATACAAAGAGAACAACCTTAATTAACAAAATAGATTAACTGTAACAAAAACAACAAATATTTAATTAATTGGTAATATGCCGGTAGTAGAAATTACGGTCAAAGAAAAGAAGAGATGCCATGATGTCATTTGCATGTTTTTGTTAAGTTTATGTTTTGGATACACTCCCTTTGTTTTTTGTGTTTTTTGTTACTTGAGTTACATTTTCCTTAATCTGACCATGGCATGTTTTGTATAAAAATTTTATTGGTTGATTAATTATAATTTTAAAATTTCATGGTTGGGTAATTGTAATATTTTAATTTTCCGCCATATTTGAAAATGGATTATTGCATGACAGCATGGTATTTTATTCATTGTCTGGATATTCTTTTTGGTGGAACCTGAAATAAAGTTTGTAAAAGTGTACCGTAGTCTATGACTATGAAACTGTTAGTGTTAGTTGGGTTTTCATTATTTATTTATTTTAGAATTTTTTTTTTTATTGATTTTATTTATTTTATTTAATTTTCTTGTTACAGTGATTAACTGCAGACTGCAGCCGTATACAAGTTTTTTACTTGAGGCATTAGGGCTAGTTTTAGGGTTCAGGTAAGGGATACATTTTCATTTAGGCTTGAGGTTAGGTTAAGGTATACATATAGGGACATTTTTTCATTAAATTTTAAAGTTTTATTCCTAATTTAAGCAGTTGCAAGTCACTTTATTTTTACACGGCCGCCTCTACCCGTGAACCCGTAAAAATTCACGGGTAGTGGCAACCAAGATGGCGGCCATGGGAAAATACATGGCATAAAGAAATAAAGTTGATAAAGTAATAAAGTCACTTTAATAAAGTGATTCACCTAACATGACATACTAATACTAATAAAATATAATATAATATCCCCCCACCCCTCTTATCTTTAAGTAATTTACTCAACTTAATACTAAATTATAAATAGTTAATGACCTCGTCGTGGAGATAGGGCCACAAAGAGGAAAAGGGGCACCCCTAATGCCTAATGCCCCTATGCCTATAGTATAGATATAACTATAGGCATAGGAGATAGGCCCTATTATTGAAAAAAGTGCCACCCAGGGCGGACAAGTAAAAGGACTATTTTGGCTTCCCTAATTATATCCCTTGCCTTGTCTTTGTGAAACACATGGGATATTATAATTTAATTAACTATTAAGGTCCAATCTACTATAAAGACTAACTAAAGAATAAGACTGATTTTGGCACCCTTGACTTGAGTGCCAGGACACAGCTGTACAGTGAATAGTTTAAGTTTAAGTATAGTGCATGGAGATGCCACAAATAACTATAAAAGTCTGGATGAATAAGTAATACTCACACTGCTGTGGCGATTCTAGTGTAGTGTTAATAACTCCTAACAAGTAACTAGTTTAATAAAATTAACCACTCACTTATTTTAAAGGTAAGTCTATTATCTTTGCGCCATGGCGTTCCTAATGCCGCCATCTTGGTTGCCATGGATCACGGGTGATACAACCAAGATGGCGACCATGAGGTTGGGGGCATCTTGGTTGCCATGGATCACGGGTGATACAACCAAGATGGCGACCATGAGGTTGGGGGGGGGGGGAACACAAAAAGACTTCTAAAATCCTAAGTCCTAAGCCTTATAATTATTTCTACGGCAACTTCTGGTGAAATAAATTAAAAACTTAATTTTTATCCCATATAAATTTATTAAAACACTTCATTGGTTCCTGTAACATGTATTTATTGTTACCCCATTTTTTTGTTATGTAGTTTCATTGGTTGTAAAGGGATTTTTACTTTAAAAAAAAAACATGTAGGCCTACCGGTATTTTAAAAAAAAATCAGTCCTTCCTCTTCTTTCATAAGTTTGTTTATTGTCTTAGTTAGAGGATGTGTGACCAGATTTTTTTCATTTTTTTCACAGTCTCGGATCAACAGCAATATTCATTCGGTTAAAAAGTCAGATTCAGAGGCATCGGCATCAGCTTCCACTGGGTGTAGGGACTGGGCTCTCTCGATCGTTGATGAAGGCCCCGTAGTGATGTCCATGCACTGTAGGTCAATTTAATGCGGTCTGTATCAGTATCAGTGGTGTTATGAAGTTTAAAATTTAAATGTTTTATAATGATTATGATAGGGAGCGTCCATTAATTACGTCAACAAAATAAGGGGAGGGGGGGTGGAAATGCTTGACAGTTGTTGACAAGGGGGAGGGAGGTGGGTTAGATCAGACATCATCAGTTGGCGTTAACGATCATTCGTTCTCTATTAAAATTTAATCTTTAAAATTGCCTGGTTATTACATTATTTTAATAATTTTTAAAAAATTATAAGTGTAAATGAGTGTAAATAGTCATATAATTTTTAGGCGTTTAACAATATAACATTTATTTAATGTGTGTCTGTGCACTGCAGATGGCTGTTTCAGATTTGTTAACACACTTTGTTAGTTCAAGAGAAGTCAAAATTTGGTCTCTCTTCGCCTGCAGATTCTGTTGCAGGTATGGAACAAGGACAAGGTTTAAGTGTCATGTGCAGTCAAGATAAATGATACTAATGGAGTAGGAATACGTTATTTTGAGAATTAGGTAAATGTAAAGTGAGTGACAATAATAACATCGCTGCTTGAACGGATTTGCAAAATCTGTAACATATATTTTGTATCTTAAGTCATGTTGAAAAGGCATGTTCAGCAGAACCGACAATGTCCTCTTGAACATAAGAAATTAGCACCTGCTCCTCAACAAAAAAGATTTCCACCAATGCGAGTAGCTGCAAGGAGATAGAGAGAGCTTATGGCAATTATTGCTCACACCGACAATGCTTCAATTTTAAGTGCTGAATAGTTAGATGAGGATGATGTTGACTTGTCTGGTAAATCAGTGCCGCAAGATGAAAATGATTAATTAGCTGCTATAGACTTTGCCATCAGGGGCGTCATTTCATGTTTTTTCAGGGGGTGGGGGGGACCCAAAACTTGGTCGGCTTGTCAAGTTGTTTATTACTGGAGGCACCACAGTACATAGCAATTTAAATAAAACGTGCAAATTAGGGGTTGGGGGCAAATGCCCAAGTTCCCAACCCAAACGATGTCCCTGATGCCCATTGTTACGATAGAGCAAACCTGGCTACTCGTTGGGAAGCAGCTAGAAACTATAGGCTACTATACTTTTCAGCTTTACTGACAATAATCACATTTATACCACAAACAATGATATTTAGTCTTTAACAACCTTTCAATTGATTCTGCATTGTAAAATTTAAGTGTGAAAACTGTTTAACTTGTTGACTAACAAGCTAAACATATACAGTAATGAAATTAAATGTTTTCCTACAATTTTATTTTCATTAAAATAGATCAGCACAAAAATTTATACATTTATTTATAATATAAATCCTTTTTTTTTTTGTGGTGGGGTGGTGTGTGAATTTGGGGGTCATTGAAACTTTGACAGTTGTTGACAAGGGGGGGGGGTCAAAAATTGCTTAAAAATTATTGACGTAATTGATGGACGATCCCATAGACCTCCAGTGTTTCTTCTCTCTTCTAATGGATTCACAACGTTGTGTTTTTATGTCACTAATGATCAATATCACGCCCTCTACCCTCCCCCTTTTCCTCAGAGTGTGATCATCGGCATTACGCACGCCCCCACCCTTTTTTTCTCTCAGTGCGCTCGGAATATACGGATAGTCCTTTGAAGCTGTATGGGGGGTGGGGTGGGGAGGGAATTGGAAGTTGATTTTGCTTTAGTTAGACATTTTTAACAATTAGTTAATTTATTACATAAAGTTTCCAAGGGACATTTTCAGCAGTTTAAGTTATCGTGCGGTTAAAATTCTATGGTACAAGTTTTTATTAATAGTATGTCATAATATGTTGTGACTCAGCGAGGGTATCATGAACTGGGGGTTGGAAGGCCTGAGGCAATAAATAGAAGTGTTTTCTCCTCAATTGTTCCTTTTGGAAGCTTATGCCAGTCCCTGATTGTCTTTTGCAGGAATGAGCAGGTCCTGTTCTGTGTTCTTGCTGTTATGAGCCGGAAGTGCCTGTCAATGGCCTCGTCGCTGTCTGTGGGGGGGGGGGGGGGCATTTCTGTTTAATGCTGGAGCAGTGGACCAGCCCATTATTTATCTTGTACATCAGGGAGAGCCTAAATAATCATCGTCGCCCCTCCAAAGGTGACCAGTCCAGTTTTCCAACATGCCGCCAAAAACAGGTGTTCCTGCAGTGGCTCAGGACAAAGCGTACTGTCCGTCGCTGGACCGCCTCAAACCTGTCGATGCTCTTCTGGGTGAATGGGTCCCAAACTGAAGATGCGTTATCTAAAGCGGCCGGACAAGAGCTTTATAGGCCCTTTCTTTCACACTTGAAATACCGATCTTCAGAATTCGCCTTTATAACCCTAGGGGTCTTGTTTGCCTGTTTGCACCAATTTTTAATATGCTCGTCCCAGCGGACCTCTCTTTGAATGGTAACGCCCAGGTACCTTACGGGGCGAAACTGGCTCAAGTATATGTCCATGCAGTTCTTAATGGTGGTGTAGAGAAGTACCACTTCTAGAGATGACAGTGACTGGCTTTTGGTAGGATGAAATTCCATGTCCCAGCTCATCTCCCACTCAGCTAACCGATTGAGATCCTGTTTTAGCTGGTCCTGGTCAGAACTGATGACGATCGTCCAATACAACACCGTGTCATCTGTGAACAGTCTTGCTTGGGATGTCAATTTTTCGGGTAAGTCATTGATGTATGCAAGGAACAAACATGGGCCTAGCACCAAGTCCTGTGGGGGGGGGGGGGGGGCTGACTCAACACCGACAAAGGGGGCGCTGGGTGCGTTCCCCACTAATGCCTGCACATGGCATTTGTTTGTCAATTTTTCGGGTAAGTCATTGATGTATGCAAGGAACAAACATGGGCCTAGCACCAAGTCCTGTGGGGGGGGGGGGAGGGGCTGACTCAACACCGACAAAGGAGGCGCTTGATGCGTTCACCACTAATGCCTGCACATGGCATTTGTTGTTAAGGAAGCTAGAGATCCATGTATTGGTAGTGCCTTGGTTCACATATTTCTGAAGTTTGTGTAAAAGCAAACTATGATTTACACGGTCAAACGCCTTTGCGAAGTCCATCACCAGTACGCCAGTTTGCTTGCTGTTCTCCAGATTGGTCATCAAGTCTTATACTCGGAGCAATGTTGTATTTTACAACACCACTGAGTTCACTGAGCGCAATGTTTTTGAAAACAACGAAGATAAAACAACAACTGAACCTTCTATTTCTATAGCACATCAGGTTTAGCTACAGGACATTCTACTTCTACAAGAGCTAAATCATCTTGCTATAGACAGAAAAAAGGTATTTGATTTTCCCGATTTCTCCATCAACAAAGATGTCAAACATCATAGAGTATATCTCAACAGTGGCCAAATTACCCTAAGCAGTATATTAATGCTATCTGTGGCTTTGGTGACAGTGAAGGATTATACAAGTCACATGTGTTGTTACTAGAGATAGGAATGGAACACAGTGGTGTAGCTAGAGTTGGTGTCTCCCGGTGCGGTAAGCTTATCAACCCCCAACCCCCCCCCCACCCCCCCATCCCCCCCCCCGACTTCAGCGATGTATTTCTTCTTGTTCAAATAAATAAACAGTAAAACAATGACAAGAACAAGAAACAAATTATTTGATGGTCAGGACTTAAATGTGTTTAAGAACTGTAACAACGTTAAGTTTAGTTGCTTCCACATTCAATTTACTTTATTTAAAATGTTTCTTTCCTTGTCTTCCTGTGAATCACTTGATCAAAACCAATATCGGTCACCGTATCGCTTGGATTGGTTAGATGTGTGGACAATTTACGTGTGATCGGTTATCCTTTTATAAAATTCTGTTAATTCGAGCAGTGTGTGCTCTATAAATTTGCAATTTTTCAATTTGGTGACACCGCATGAGATGGTGTCACCCGGTGCGGTCCGCACCCCCCTAGCTACGCCCCTGATGGAACACACCGAACTGTAAACTCGCTAACGATCGAAACAAACCTCAGCCTTACTGACAGCCGAACCCGATCTTCAGTCACTGAGTGTGAACCACCCCGAACGAACCTAATGCACAGTTATTAGAACCGACCATGTTTTACCACATCTCCCCGTCAACACCATTTCGTTCATAGGCTTGATTTGTATGAATGCATGACAAATTGAACAACATTATATGTAGCCGACTCTTTTCATTCAGTCTCCACATTTTTCAGCTTTCAAAAAAACCCCAACAAATTTAGAATTATATATCAATCTAATTCACAGTGTGTAGAAGAAGTCTTAAAGAGTTTTCTAGGCTGAGAAGATGGGGAGCCATATATATATGAACGAACTTCAGCTTTTGCTGAACCAAACTTCTTTAAATAGGGTTCGATTTCCATCTCTAGTTGT